GTATAAAATGACATAAAAACCAGACAATTATGGTGTTACAGAAATTAGCATATGTATGAAATGAATACATCAGATGTGCCAGTTCAGAACCGAAAAAGTACCTTAAGTATGGATTATAAACATCTCTAACAGAAATACAGTACGGGCAGCGAAGTGTGATGCTTTCAATTATGCTGTCTAACTGTTTCGTTGGAAGTGCGATATTTTATTTTGTTTCTGTTTCTGCGTTAATTTTCTATTGTTCCTGCAAAGCAACACGAATTATATGAGTAAACGAGCTTTGTAAAAATAAAAAAGGAATATTTTCTGCATAATAAATTAATTATTATGCAGTAAAGTAGTTTCTTTTTATTACACCTTAAGAAATAACATTTTTAAAATCGAGCTGTTCATAAATGATTTTTTATGTCTTAATGGTGGATATACAATTTCTAAAATATTAATGCGGATTTTAAGTGAATTATTGTAATTTTCCTGGATAAAATTTACTAGTGACCGAATAAAAAATTAAAGACAAATTGGAAATTGTGCAATAAAACTGTGTTTATTTTTTTGAGTATTAAAAAAAACGTGATATTCGTTGAAAATTTACATCTAGTATTGTACTCAATGGGAAAAAATCTTGTGTTTCATCACGATTAATTATATCTTGAAAAATGCCTTCCCAAGAATGTGAGTGACATATAGTTTTCTTCAAAGTTCTATTTAAGATGATGTTAAATCAAAACTTTGACAATTGGTTTATTAAATGTATTTAAAATAAGACAGTTTATACTATTATCCTTACATACATTTTTAACATGCTCTGCTGCAGATAAACTAAAGTCATGGCAAATCCTGATGAAGAAATTGAAGAAAATGAGGGGAAAGATAGGAATGTAGCACTTTCAGTATTTATCGATAGCTTATTTTTATTTACATGTAAGTGGCTATGATATTTTTTATCGTGATTGCGACGTTAAAAAAAAATATGTAATTTAACTTACATGTTCAAAATAATTTTACGAACAAGGCCTGCTTTTCAAGCTAAATGGTAAAGTCTTGTAAACATGTTAATAGTATATAACTGTTGCTTACTAAAATGTCATTACGGGCAGAATATGTTTATACAAGTTTAATACCAAAAATTTAAGAATTTTCCTTTAACTAGCAAATATCTCAAACGAAAAATTATAAATGACGTCATAAGAGAATGCTTTATTTTCTATGTTAAAATCACGATTACCGGTTGGCTCTACATCCTATTTTCTTATACTCACCAACACTTTAAGATTGCTATGCGACATTGCACAGTTCAATTTACGAACCAAGCTCACTTCGCTTGCTAGCAAGATTTGAAATGACACTTAATACAAAATCTTAATTGGACAATCATTTATAAAAATATAAATGCTTTTTTGTCTTTTTCACCACTAATATTTAATACAGCACATTACGAAAGAGAGAACATAACAATAGTTTTCAGAAATCCTGCATAAAAAAATTCACATTGATTGCACACCGCAGATATAATTTTACACACCTAGCAATAAAAATATTGACAGAAAATGAACTGCACCACAAACATTTGTAAAAATGATAGTGAAAGTAAAAACATTGATAACTAAAAGCTTTTACTTACATTGTTCTTTTTTCTTCTTCTGAAAACTCAATTATATATTCTTGGACTTGGAGACATCACTGTGAGGATGTCAAATGACCGTTACCTGTTTCATATTTGATATTAATATTTTATCTCGCTTTTCCCGAGCACTTTTTTATTATATGCAAGTAGCGTAGCGTAAAAGATTCACTTCTTATTTGCAATTTAATATTAATTTTCAATTTTTATTGAGGAACCAAAATGAAGACAAACATGCCAACCATGTTGAAATCAGGGTGACAAATGTTAATATATAGAATACATAGAATCAGCAATATATAGAATCAGCACTAAATGTTCTAACCATAACATTGTTAAAAGTAACTTTAATTAAATTACTGAACTTAGTCACCTCTCAATAGCAACGCCATTGATGTAGGTTAAAACAATTAGACTCCATGAACCCATTAGGTATAATTTATTCCCTTCGTTTCGCCAATAAAAAGCGAACTAAGCAATTTTAAGCCTCGAACCTCTTTTAGAATTAGATGTCCTGAGTGTGACTAACACCTTCGTCATTTAACCGTTTTTAAAATATAGTCAATTAACATTTATCAACTTTAATTTTGATTGACTGTTTATGAAAGCCAAATGTGCATAAAATTCTCTGTTAAAAATCAATCAGCATTATGCATGCTAGAACAAGGTAAAATATTTCCATGCTTATGCTGGCTTTCTACCAGCTACACCAACTTCCACAATGGCGGGTATTAGCCTCAGCATGCCACTGTTTGCATTTGGTAATTGAGATTATCATTAATGATTCGCAACGCTTGATTACGCCCTCTAGCGAATCCTGAAAATATCGGGCAGTTATTTATTAAATTTTCATTCAGTTCGATCATAATCATTGGCAGATTCATACGCCATTTTTTAGCAGCAAATGCGAAGCAAATTTTCTTTAAGGAAAAGGCATAAGAACTTGAAAAAACTCTCCAGAACATTGGTAAATCTTTCAGAAACGGAACACGCCAAACAACTGAAGAAAAAGCTCTCAATAATTTTTAACATATATTATCAACGAATTGCAACTGATTCCTTCCAATTTCGGGATCGTATACTGTTACAGATGTTTGTATTATGGTAAAAAAAGAATTTTTTGTCTTCAATTCACTACAAATTGAAGTGAAATCAACATTGCTTACTTCATTCCAATAAATAAATGTGATTTCAGAAAGTATGGAACTGTAATAGTTATAGAATATTCTTCTTTTTTATAAAATAGTATATATTCCTGTATCTACATAATTCGAAAAACAACAGTAAAGAATCATCCGAATAACTTGAAATAGTTTCATTTATGTTTATTATTGATAAATTTTTATCGTTTTCTTGGTAAGTGTGTTTTTAATTTTGAATGATAAATTTCAGCTAGAATTCAGCTATTCTGTTTGTAAGTTACATATTAAAATTCATATCGAGATCTTGCAATTATAAAATTTTATTGTGTGGTATGTCATCTTAAAGTAATGAGGGGATCATCTATGTATATATTATTTGAGAATAAAGTTTTCAAATGAAGATCATATAATTTTGTAATTCTCCGGATTTATAAATCAGGTAAGAGTTAGGATTTTCATATTAAAAAATTTGCTTGAAAATAATTTTTTTTTCTAATTTGATGACAGTACTCCATAGAATAGTTTTCTACGTCCGATTAAGAATTTTAAAAAAAACATAAATTTTTTTATTTTAATTTGAGGAATTTTTAGAATCGTTTTTTTCGTAAACATTTTATATTTTGCCTTTTTTAGTTTATAACTAATAATTTTTGGTAAAAATTGTTGTAAAAAAACTTTTTTGCAAAATTAAGTGGTATAACATTATGGGCTTATGCATACTTTTTGAAGTAATATGATTTATAAAACTGTGGAATGTGAAGTTTAAATAGGCCTTTCATTTTATCTCATTAAATTTAGTAAAGCAATTTCGCAGGCATTAGGTTTTTATTCTAAGAAGATACATATTTTTTTTCTGTTTATTTACAAATATATCTTTCCGATGTGTTTTGGATGTTCCTACTCTAAAAAAAGGAGATATCATTTTGTTTTCACTTGCATAAGAAAGAATATTTAGCATTTTATTTTAAAAATTGATAAGCCACAATTAACAGGAAATAATACAATGCTACAAGCTACTTTGAGGTGTCTCCAGAGCAAAGGAATGACTATTTATATGGAAATCGCATGAATTCGTCTCATACAACGCCCCCTATAGTTCGCTGCAATTTCGAATTTAAATCCGAAATTTCTGAAGAAAAAAAAAGTGCTTTGTTCTTTGTTATTGAACGCTTTCGAAATTAAAACTTTGCTCATAATGTTTATGTGAGTTATTTTCAGGATTTCTTAAATAAAAATTAACTATATCATAATATAAATTCAGGGCTGAAAAAAAAGATGCATGTGCCAAAACTTATTTACCACATTTTTGCTATTTCCTTTTTAATACTTTAGTTACAGCATATACACGATAGCTCAGTGGTTATGTGCACTGAGTTGTCACTGCTAAGGATTGGGGATTGATTCTCATTGGTGGCTTAAGAACCTACTCAGCATCAGAGAGATGGGCGCTAGCTTGTGTGGATAGTACAGATTGCCTGTATGGAATTCTGGAAGAAATTATGACGTTAAATGAAATTTGGCGAATTGTTGAGCTCGAATATCAACTTGCGAATATCAGTATCAAAAAATCAAAAAAAAAATTTTTTTTTGCTTGGGATCTATATGTAGCCATTGTTATTTTTTGGGTAAAGCTGCTTGGCTTATTCTATTTTATTCTATTCTATTTTAATTCTATTAGGCTTATTCTATTTTAATTACTATGTGAAAACACTGTTGATTCCTAATTCAAGGTTTAACTATTTTTTAAGATCTTTTTAGGAAATCTTTTGCCTTATTTTAATTTTTTTTTTCAGTTTATTCAAGGTCTACGGTTTTTTTATTTCAAAATTACAGTAAATGAGGGTATGGTGTGCAAAGAAAGTATTTCTAAAAAAAAAAAAAAAAAATTAAACACATTCTTTCTTCGTCCTTGTTCTTCGTCATGCCCCTACAGATGACAGACTTTTCCAAATCCTCGGGCAATAGTGAAATAGTGAAATAAGATAAAACCAAATTGGCGTATTTATGAGAGGGATTTAAACTAAGATAACGAACATAGTTTATAATTTATTTTCATAAAGAATAATTTCCATGCTGTATCCCGAAGTAAGTTCAAAGTCGGACGTTCAAAATAATCTCCCCGAAATATCTTCTGCATACCTAGTTTGGCGAGATTTCAAAAACTTGCTTGGCGAGATTTAAAAAAAATGGCCACGGTATGGGCTATCTGGGTGGGGTTTGATTCTTAGAGGCGGCTTAATGCCAATCCAGTATCAGATCAATGGGTGCTACCTTGTGTGGGTAGTACAGATGGTCTGTGTGGAATTCTAAACGCAATTATGACGTTAGATCCCCAATTTTAGCGAAATTTTGATCTTGAATTGCAGTTTATGGACGGTGTCCATTTTTTTTTACTTGGGATCTTCAACGAAGCAATTGGTATTTATTGCAGGTAAAGTTGCTTATTTTACAGGCTTATTCTATAGTAATTACAATGTAAAAACACAATGCGTTAAAAACCTCTTTATAAGAAGAATTTAAACTAAGCTAGTTCCGACAGGTTATCATCTTTTAATAGTAAAGAATAATTGTCATTGCGTTTCCAAAGTAAAAATGTCGGCTTTTTTATTAATTTATTGATAAACTAAAACATTCATTCACTAATTTGGACACTCAATGATTTACCAACTATTATCGCTTCGATTTCGGGATCACTACTTTACCCATTCGTTGATTCAGTGTGCTTACTCTTCTATCCGCGCTGTTTATGATTTATCCGTTAAATGATTTTCTAGCTTTTAAATATGACAATGTACTAATCACTCCATTGACTTATTTGGTAATTCACAGGATTGCTGAGTCTTTAATTAACATATATATTGATTGCATTCATTTCTTTAATCATTTCTTTCTTTCTTTAAAAGATGCGATGTTCAGTGTGTCAAAAGAATTCAGTGTGCTATGTTATGCACCATTCGTAATAATGCTTGCCTAAATGACTATCGAATTTCCAATGTTATTGATACCAGTATTCAAACCTCCTACTTTTAAGAAATACAAAAATCCCTTAAATTTTTTTACAATATTTGCATTGATTTAAAGATAAAACATTTGATTAACTTTCCGCACATTTGCTAATTCGGTCGTATATTTTACATAGAAGCTATAACAATTTTTTGTAGTCCCATATCCTGCTAGTTACCTATAATGCCCTTGAAAACGCGTCGAATCAGATATTTTATAGAAGTTACTCAACAAATAATCAAAGTTAATAGGATCAATAAATAAATAGAGTAATAAATATGAATATATATACATGATAATCTACTAATATGAAGTTTCATTTTCTGTGAGAGAATATATTTTTTGTTTAAAAAAAGTCAATGAAAACATTGAAGTTGTCACGTTCGATTTTTTAAATATTCGATTGCATTGTTTTGTTTCTTTTTAGAAGAAAAACTATATTAGGTATGGAAAAAAGCAAAACTTCTGTAGATTTTAAATAGAGAACGTAAAGAAAATATTAACTAAGATAAATATTTTGAACTGTTCAAGTTTCAGTAAATGATATTCAAAAGTAATATGTTATACTTGCAGCAAATCCGACCTGAAGTAATTTTCCGCCTCTATAAAATTGTTCGTATAACTGTTGTTTCTTTATAATCTTGTTAAATAGAAGAGGCAATATATATTCACCTAACACGCCAAGATGTTTCGCTTAAATTGTCCAGCCACCTGGTGGCTGCCTAACTGGTTTGGTGATATACTTTGCCACATGCTATATTCCTTGCAGGAATTTGGACTTTTACTCTTTGCAAGTGTCTAAGTCCTCGAATATTATATTCTTTTCATGATTTAGAAGATGTTGGACTCAACGAATGCTTTTGTAGAGTTCACTGCTGTAAAATATTCGCTGTATTTTATTTCCATTCATGGGATCAAGAAATGTCATTCATGAAATTTCCTCAAAATTTTTCTTTTAAAGATCAGTTTATCTTCTGCTACTTTAGTAAATGCCCAACAATCGCAAACCGAGTTTATCAAACAAAAATATCAAAATGAAACTCATAAAAGAATATATTAAAGGAGAAGAGAGAAAGATGTCATGTAATTATAATTGACTTGCAAAAATGTTTTTGAAATATTTCCATAACAGAGTAGTCAGATTACAAAATATAAAATTGACGCATAATAGAGGATAGTGAGGTATCGTTTTAAAGTGTGTTCATTATTAAATGAAGAACTGCATCTGATATGGTCAGTGTCTTGGATTTGCCCGAAAACTGGATATGAGACAAATAATAATATTTACTGCGAATTCAAAATTATAATTCATAAAATATTCAATTTTCAATATGGCATTTTATTATAAAGATTTTTTTTTGATGAAGTTATTAACATTTACTGATTAATAATTATTGTGTATATGACTATTGGAAGGGGATGTAAGCTAGTTATATAATTAACGGATTAACACAAATATGACAACAATAATATCAAACTAGAAAATATATTAACCTAGAAATTGTATCAATTATATATTATTTTATTGATTTTAATATAAAATTGGCGCAATGATTTTACATAAAATTTAATTACATACGTTAGATAATAGTGTTTTAATGAAATAGTGTCCTAATGAAATTTTGAAAAAATACTTTTATTTTTTATTTGACTAAAATAGCATTTAAGTAAATATTTCTGTTTTAGAATCATTGGAATTCCGTGCAATTAGTTTCTATACATTAAACTTAATATAGTAAATCTTCCAGGAAAGACCTCCTTGATTTACGACCACATTCTGAAAGCAAGGAATTTTTTCCATAGACTCTTTGTTGAAGAAAACTCTTAGGAGAGACCATCAAAACCTCACCCAGTGACCGGACAAACCTCTGCACCAAATGCGAAAAAATATTAAAACAAAAGCCATTAACCAAACAAATAATTAGATTAAAATGCATTCAAAATATTTATGTGAGGCTCTTATTTTGGACAACTCTTTTTGACGATCTCTTAAAAAGATTTACAACCTGTTGTTTCAGTCAGTGTGTACTAAATACATTGCTGTCAAAGATATCTTTATAGAACTGAAAGTTAAATTAGAAAAAAAAAAAGTTATTTTAGAAGAACCCAAGCATCTCAAACAAACAAGCCTTTTCCATCTTTTAACGCTAACCTTGATTTTATGATATAAGATTAAATTTAAACTTAAATATTGTCTGTTAATTTGTTCAAAATAGTTCTATCATTCATAATTGGTAAATTTGCTTTTACACATAATTATATCAGTCATTTTTATTGACGCTAAACTTGATTTATCGACATTCATTCATTTTATTCACACTTATTCACTTTATTTATAACGCCAACATATGTGGCATTTCCTTACCAAGAAAATGACACTATCTAAAATTAACATAATTTGCGAAAAATCCTGTACTTTTGATAACATTTTAAAGTCATTGGAGATAACCCCTAAGAACAACCAATCTCTATAAATAACTATTTTACTACTAGTAATATTAATATCTTGAGTAAAATATTACCTAACAAAATTATATAAATTTGAAAAGTACGCTTAAATAAACTGACAATTATTCGAAAAAAATTATATCTAGTGTATAATATTTTCCAAAATAGTGTAAAAATGGGAGATACAGAAATGACAATCTATTACAACCTTTTGGTATTCCATCTATTTGAATAAAATAAATTCCTTCCTTTATGAGATAAATAAAGAAAAACAAAATTAAATTAGAATTTCTCATTACGTTTTTTGACACTTTTTAATCTTTCAAACGCCTTATAATTTTTCATTGTAATTTATTTTAATTCCCTTGATAATTTTTTCTATAATTTTTTTATGATCTTTTCTTTTGTCTCTTTTTTATTTTTTATAAATAAATGTACAGATAAGTATCTAAACGTAATTTTATATTGTAACATAAAATATAATTTTCTGGGAAAGCCAGTATAAAATGCAGTTCTAGTGCATCAGAATAAATGTTAGTAGTTTGAAATGAATATTCTTTTGCACATTGAATAAATACAGTAATACAGTAAATTCGTCATAAAAAATTTAATTTTTTTAAGATGTCAAGTTCAGAAATAAAAGGATTTCTTTTGTTCTGTTTTTTCCCATTAAAACATAGTTAAATAGGCCAACGCAAAGTTCATAATGCTAAATGATTTGCTTTATGGCAAATATGGTTGTTGTGTAGAACAGAAATTCATTTGAGCAGAAAATTGTTTTATGTAATTCCTTTTATATAGAAAATTAAGAATTAGTTTTTAGAAACAATCAATGTATATACGTCACAAAAAATTGAAATTTCAATACAGTTGCATACCAGATTTAGTATGGATAACAATTAATAGTATGGAGATCTAAGTCAATGAAAACAGTGTTCCACAGTTTAATTAATTTCTTTTACAGGTGGTGGTATAATACCTGTAGTATGGCGTAATATGAAAGTAGTAAGACAAGGCTTCTTTTGTGACGACGAGAACATAATGTATCCTGCAAAACACAGCTCTATTACGAATGCAATGCTTTGGGGATTTTGTGTTTCAGCTCCTTTATCTATTGTGAGTTTAAATTCTGATCCATTTAAATTTTTTAGTTATATGAGCAATTTATACTTTTTTGGGAATTAATTTTGATTTTATTATATATATATATA